ATTCTCAAGGATTCTGCTGCCTTTCCGTACAGTGGACACCACTTCTGATTACCTGTGTTAACCCCTCCAGTGAATATCCACGCTCCGGTTGTCATGGCAGCTTTGATGAGACCTTTCCCAAAGACTTGCTTGAGTTTAGGCTGGAGTTCAAAGTTCTGCAACCCCCCATGGACAGAGATGAGAAGCTTGGGAAGCTCCAATTGCCATTCCTTGGTCATCAGGTGGAGGAGGAGATCAGGCTTTGTATCGAAAGACACACGTACATACTGGAAGAAGAAAGACCTTGAGTTAGGGAGGGAGGGCCGAGCTGGCCAAGGCTTTCCTGACTGCAGTCTAGTATCGTTACTTTCGGAAAGTGTCAGCTGTGAAAACAGATTTTCTAAACTCTTTTGCTTTCCCCAAAGAGTCTTCATCCAACAAAGGAACTCACCATTTTTCAACGCTTTCTTAAAATTTTGGAGTACCCCAAACTCTAACATTTTTTAATATTCTGAAATACAGTGTAGCCTCATCTCTTCCTGGGTTGACTTATTTTCTCCAAGGACTTCGTTGACCTTTGTTCCACCAAACCAAACTCAGTACCATGGAGTCAGTTCAAGGACAGGGGAGAACTGTCCCTGTGCGGTTCCGAGTTTGTAACTCTTTACAGGAGGAGAAAGCCTTATCTTTCTCCCACAGAACTGCCGACCTTGTGGCTAGTAGCCCAATGTATAACCATGACGTCACCAGGGCTCCCCCCCTTTGTGCCACAGTTCAGTTGATTCTATTTTTTTTTCAATGTAGGCAATCCCTTTATAGTAACTGGATAGACGATTTCTGTGAGTCTAGTACATTGAGAGGTTCTGAAAGAACCTGCATTTCTCCAGAATGTACTGGGAAGTATATAATAATGTAATGAGAATTTTAGATTTTATAAAAATTTTATGATGAGAATTTTAAAATAAGGCAACAGCTGATTGTATTCATATAAATCTATAACTGTATACCAATGACCTTACATATATTTATTTGAAGAAAACAAATTTCCAAAGACACACAAATTATTCTTGGAGAAAAACTTAAAAATGAAAGTTTATAGCAGACATCACTACCTTAGCATATACAAATGGAAATCAAAGGACAAGCCAACACAGTTGGAATGTTATAAACATATGTACACATATACATCTATATAACCCCAAAGCTAAGTTCCTCATTCAGATTTCAATATAGTTATATGAAGATTTCCATTTGCAACTGGAAACAAATACATTTCTAGGCAAATATATTGGAAAGGCATTTCTGAGCTGGTATGGAAAGAAGAAATATTCAGACTTGCAAACGAAGTGTAAGCTAGAACCTCGAGAGGTTTAGCAAGTGCCAAAGCAGGCTCTGACCATGAGGGTCTCTGCTGAACCCTGGGGACCTACAGTATCTGTCTTAAGAGTTTCATAGGGAGCTGACTAAAGGGCATGGCCTACAGCTGAGCCAAAGGGTCAAGTATAAGACTGCAAGAGTAGGTAAGTCTATTGGACAAAGGAAGAGACCAACCATATTTGTCTGACTCAATCTTGGCTTGAGGTAAATAAGGAAAAAAACACCCTGAGTATTTATAAACAAAAGGAGGCCCTTCATAATGGGTTTTGGTCCACATTTAACTCTAGGTGGGGTTTGAAAAATTATGAAGCAGAATATTAAATGTAAACTGGTTTGGGTCAGATAACGAGCCAGGTAAATGTCCAACGCAAATGAAAATCCTCTACAGGGGCATGCATTGTCAATCCAGGAGTCCAATGATTCTCATAGGGAATAAGCATTTGATGGTAAAGAATAATATCACAAATTACATAATGAAATAAAATTGCATGAAGGAGAGTAAACAGAAACAACTCACATCAGAATAAGACTCTCAAAGATAGAGAAATCACTAGGCACCGAATCTGAAACAGCCATGATAAGTATGTTAGAGAACACAAATGAGAAGTTTGAATATATAAGCAGGAGACAAGAGAGTCAAGGGAATCCATATATGATTTTGAAAGATAGTGCAACCACACTTCTAATAGTTGAAATGTAATCAGTTTAAAGGAAAATCCAAAAGGTATATTGAAGAAACTGAAAACAGAGCCAGAGAAATTAGCCAGTGCAGCCCAGAGCGATAAAGGAATTAGAAACATGAAGGAAAATTGTAAAACCTTGGGAAAGCGAATTAAAATTGTAAATAAAAATGAAAGGGGGAATGGAGAAGCGATATTGGAAGAAATACTATCTGCGAATTTCTAAGAAGTGTTGAAGATCAAGGAAGCTCAATGAATCTCAAAGAGGAGAGATAAAGGGGGATCTCACTCATCTGCACACAAAAGGGAATTCCCAAAGCAGCTTGAAACAAACAACCCACCATCCCATCGGTAAAGCAAAGGTCATGAGAGCAGAGACAGCCACCTCAACACTAACAAAGGACGCCAGGAGCCAATATCTTCAGTGTGCCCAAGGAATGACCTGTTGGCCCAGCATTCTATATTCAGCAAAAAATATCTTTGAAAAATGAAAACAACAAAGACATGAAGGTAAACAAGCGGCCACCTAGCCCAGAAGCAACAAAGGCCACATGGAAGAAGCACACCAGCCTGTGTGATCATGAGGTGCTGAAAGGATCAGTTATCAGGCATCAAAGGACAAAAAAACCATATCATTGTGTGCGCACCTCGCCTATAAGATCGGTGAAGACAAAGCGGGTGCATAAGCAAATGTGGTGAAGAAAGCTGATGGTGCCTGGCCTATCAAAAGATATAGTGTCTGGGGTCTTAAAGGCTTTAAGGTAAACAAGTAGCCATTTAGCCCAGAAGCAACAAAGCCCACATGGAAGAAGCACACCAGCCTGTGTGATCACAAGGTGTCGACGTGATCAGGTATCAGGCATCAAGGAACAAAAAATCATATCATTGTGAATAAGGGGAAGTGCAGAGTGGGGGACTCAAAGCCCATCTGTAGGCAAGTGGATATCACCTTACAGAAGGGTCACGGGGAGGAGACGAGCTAGTCAGGGTGCAGTGTAGCAACAATGAGACATATAACTTTTCTCTAGTTCCTAAATGCTTCCTCCCAGTGCCCCCCCCCCACCGCCCCCCGATGATGATCACAGTTCTACCTTATAAATCTGGCTAGACCAGAGGATGTACACTGGTACAGATAGGAACTGGAAATACAGGGAATCCAGGACAGATGATCCCTTCAGGACCAGTGGTGAGAGTGGCAATACTGGGAGGGTGGAAGGAGGGGGGTGGTAGAAAGGGGGAACTGATTACAAAGATCTACATATAATCTCCTCCCTGGGGGATGGACAACAGAAAAGTGGGTGAAGGGAGACATCGGCAGTGCAAGATATGACAAAATAATTTATAAATTATCAAGGGTTCATGAGGAAGTGGGGAGTGGGGAGAGAGGGGCAAACTGAGGAGCTGATGCCAGGGGCTTAAGTGGAGAGCAAATGTTTTGAGAATGATGAGGGCAATCAATGTATAAATGTGATTTACACAATTGATGTAGGTATGGATTGTGATAAGAGTTGTAGGAGCCCCTAATAAAATGATTTTTAAAAAAGCATCTCATTGATGGAGGGAAGGGGATAGAGGTAAAACACTGCTCAAAAATAGCACACAAATTGGGAGGTGGTAATCTAAGGGGTAGCCTTCTCAAGTTTGTATGTTGTGTGGTAGAGAAGGTAAGCCTCCACTCGCAAAAATAAACAAATATACAAACTTACTGCCCACAGGAAGATGGTGACCCACGGAGACTCTATAGAACAGGGTAGGACAGCCCCAGTGAGTTTCCAAGACTACAACTCTTTATGCGAGAAGAAAACCCTGTATTTCTCTCAAGAGAAGGTAAAATACTGATTAACTTGAAATTTTACTTAACATTAAAGTTGTTTAACTACAAGAAGAACATCCCTGAATGTACTCACATATACATCTAGTAGTCTTTGATGTAGCAATAAATGGTATTATCCAGGAATTGCTAATTTATTGCCACATTCTGCGGTCTAAGAGTCACCACTGTTGTAAAAAATGATGCATATTCTTTGAAGTATATTTGAAATATATTTAGATAAACTATGAAGCGAAACACACACGATCTATGAAAGCAAACAAACTGTATCATAAAGATATAACAAAGGTAAAATTTCCTGTATGCAAGAATATACACCTATATTTCCTGTAGTTCAGAATTCTAAAGTGTTGGGACCAAGTACAGTTGGTTCTACATTGATATGACCTACATAGCAAGAAAAAGCTCCAGAATTGGAAGAGTCTATGTTGTCAATTTTTGCTAAGTACAGTCCATCAACTGAATTTAATAAGGGCTTACAATATGAGAAAGGGCATATTTTGCGCACAAGCTCATCGGCAGGAGGCAAGGACTTTCAGATACCTATCACAAGAAATTCCCAACAACAATGCACACTTTTGTGCTTGGCAAGGAGCCTTGCAGCTGGAGAGAGGGTGTTTCAGAGTGCAGACAAACACAGTGTTTCCGTCAATAAAAGCTTCTTTATCATATCCATTGAGTGACTCTTTGTAAGAAAACTATCTCCCACACACACACCAAAGAAGCTCAAGATCAAAGAAATGAAAAGTTTTCTGAGTCTAAAAACTGAATCTATGATACTCAAATTGCTACAGTCTGGTGATTCTGCTGGATGGAGTCTGTATCACGTTGACTAATTCCAGGAAGGGATATTTGTGAAGTCAACTAGACTTGGGAATCACAAGACTAGAAATCTTTATTACCCACAAGTCTTTAGCAGGAGAAATGGTCATGAATTGTGTTTTAAGCTACTATTCTCAGGGTTACTAGCTTTGATGTGAATTTTCTTCTTCCTCCAAATAAGTCCACCTTCTCCTGAAGTGAGATATAAATGATACTTTTCTTAAATACAGAAAAAGATCTAAAGTATGTTCTGTTTGTAATTCTGTTACCCCCCCTTCCCCCCCTGCAAACACAGAGCGCTGACCTGAATATGGCTGAAGGATTGCATGCATGCAGTTTCAATCATTAGAGAATGCACAAATGAGAACAATATAATGTTTCTGGAAAGAAAAAGTTGCTTAAGATGCCTCATTTAACATACTTAGCTGGACGCTTTATTAAACCAGTTCTTTTTTCTTTTCTTCTTTTTTTACATGCATGTTAGAGCCATACTCAGTACCTGGGGAAAGATCCCCATACATTATTAACTCACAGAGTGTGAAGATGTACCACAATTCATACTAAATAGCTACAAAGT